AGATAGATAGATAGATAGATAGATAGATAGATAGATAGATAGATAGACAGACAGACAGACAGACAGACAGACAGACAGACAGACAGACAGATATAGACAGACAAACACAGTATTAGAATAATATACCAATAAGGGCTATATGGTATCTCTACCTCTGAGGTTTTTAAGTGGAGGCTGCACAGCCTTCTCTCAGAAATGATTTAATTGCTGTTCCTGCACATTGCAGAGAGTTGAACTAGATGATTCTTGTGGTCCCTTCCAACTCTATAGTTATATGACTATGATTCTGAGAAACATACATACACCAAGATATGAATGTTGACTTACTTCTTCACTGGCTGACAGTTAGTGCTTAGAAATTAAAAAATGAGTTAACCAACTTAAACCAACAAACCCACAAGGTAATGATTTCTTAATGGCAAAATGAAATATGTAACAACTTAGAATGGTGAATCCCAGTTTCAACCACCCACTTTTTCACTGATTGCTCTAGACTACAATGATTTCAAAAGACTGGGGTACAGCAGTAATAGTCCTTTTTATAAAAAGAAAGAATGGCACCCTAATAATCTACTAAGCATTATTAGCAATATTTATGCCAAATATTTAAATACAAAAAATAGTGGATTGGATGGAAATAGAACAAGGGCAGAGAAATAGGCTGATGTTAGACCCAACGTCCCTTGATCTTGCCTTTATTTTACAATACCTGGTAGAAAAGTCTATGGCTAAAGTAGGATTTGCCCATATGCTGCTTCTGTTGATTTTAAGTTTGCCTTCTACTTGATTTCTGGGCCTTAGAAAGCAGATAAGCTCATCAATTCCATTATTGATAGATGTCTATTATTAGTGCTGCTTGAGCTTCATGAAAAAGCTTGTCTAAAAATCTAATTTACTTCACAAAATTACACAACTAAAGCAATTACCTTGGTTTGGGAAGATAGATAGGATTGTATATTGGCATCAGATAATATCTAAGATATGAATCATTTTCTTTTCTTCTTGGTTAACATGAATATTTTTACCCACTGGCTTAACTCCACTAACATTAGAAGATAATTTTAATACTAGACGGAGGAGATGTCAGAAAAAAATTCCCTGCTTTGTATGAATTCTCTCTGGGGCACAAGCAGGCTAACAGTATTGATGCAACAAGTTCTGGACAATTAGATCAGTCCAATTTGCCCAATGTTGTATTTTTAAGTAAACAGTCTCCCTTTTCAGCCCTGCAATGCACTAAATTGGAAACCCTTTAATACTAGATTACTTTAATGCCTTGCCATCAGCTGTTAGATATAAGAAAATTTCCTGCAGGGGTCAGTCACATGGACAGGAGGTATTAGGAATCCACTGCCCATTATACTGGAGGTTTTACAGAGATCTGTTAGCCTGCTTTATTTATCTTCAGATAGTAAGATATCCTGAACAAATGGTGGTGCACTGGTTAGAATGCAGTATTGCAGACTACTTGTGCTGACTGCCGGCTGACTGCAATTTGGCAGTTCAAATCTCTCAGGCTCAAGGTTGACTCAGCCCCTTCCATCCTTCCGAAGTGGGTAAAATGAGGACCCAAATTGTTGGGGGCAATATGCTGATTCTGTAAACAGCTTAGAGAGGGCTGTGAAATGGTATATAAGTCTAAGTGCTATTGCTATTGCTATCTCTTATATACCAGCATTCTTTTATTTGGCCAATGAGATTCCATCTCTCCGTATTGCTAAGTTTTGCTATATAGTATTACTTCTAATATAGGGGTACAGTGGCCTAGCAGTTAAAATGCTGGACTTTTTGATGGAAAGTTGGCAGTTCGAGACCCATGTACCAGATGACAGCTCCCATTCTTGCCCCAGTTCCTGCCAACTAGCAGTTTAAAAGCATGCAAATGCAATAGATAAATAGGTACCACTTTGGTAGGAAGGTAACAATGTTCCATGTGCCTCAGCGTATAGTCATACTGACCACATGACAATGGAATTGTTTTTAGACAATGCTGGCTTCTTGGCTAGGAAATGGAGATAAGTACCACCTCGTAGTGTCAGGCACGACTGGGCAGAGGAAACCTTTACCTTTATTATTTCTAACATCTCAAATGATTGTTACTTGCTGACTAAAATAAAAACATTGATTAATAATTGAATAAATGATTCTGTAGTGTATATGCCACATATGCAGCTGTTTTAATTTAAAATTGAGGTATTACCAAGACTAACTCAAGAATTGCAGTTCTTGCGATTATTTTAGTTTTAGGGTTAAAGTTTTAGTTTTAAATAATATTTTGAACTTGGTAATATTAATATTAAACTCTGATGAGATTTAGGATAAGAGTTTTAATACTGCTAATACATAGCCCAATATTTTATATTTATATATAATATAAATATCAATTTTGTTTTGTAATTCTTTTCTTTGACTGCTTTTGTTTTATGATCGAACTGAAGACTAACATCAAGATATGGGTAAATTGTTAGAGATAGGATTAGTTGACTTCTGAATTTTTTAACTGGCTTAAGTATTAGTTCTGGTAAACATGTAAGATATATATTTTATATTTATATTTTAATTATTTTTATAGTTAAATTATATGATTTTTGTTTTCAGAGCTGCAATGTAAAGATGGGGAGCTACAATCAGAAGATTTTTCTGTAAGTATTTTTCATTTAGTATTAACACAATATAAAATATAATCAGTTTTTAACCTGAGTAAATGATTGCATTTTTTTAAAAAAATAGAAGTTTGAAAATATTTATTAGATTTACAATGTAATCTGAAGAAGAGTTTCAGAAAAATCTGAAGAATATTTTTATGTTTACACTATTATATAAGCCCATTATTCAATTGGCAGCATTAAGCAACCCTGGATAATCCCAAACATGGTTAAATATGATTACTTCTTAGATGGGAGAATTCCAAGAATTACAAGGACCACTATACTCTGGTCAGGTAACTTAAAACTGAACAAATGGAGAGAATAGCAAACCACTCTTCATATTGCTGGAAATGAAATTACATCTTCCTGTTTTTACCAGAAGTTGAATGCAACGAGGGATTTTTAAAAATTATTATTATGGCATGATCTGTATGAAAAACTAAAATACACAAATAGCAGCCAATCCCACATATCTGAAATTACTGAGTTAATGCTAGCAAATATTGAGAAATATTTTTAAAAGCTTGCTAACATTAATTAGTTACTTATTTACATGATGCTCATGTAAGCATATTTACTGAGAAGCAAGTTCCACTGTGCTAATGGAACTGTCCATTCCATGTTTTTTTTTTTTTTTAATGTTGTAGGCTCTATACTGTATTATGTATAGAACTGTTAAGATGATTCATGAATGTTGACATTTTAGCATATTGGATGTTATTGTAATTTTAGTTTTGTGTGTAAATAGGGAACTGTAGTTGTAATTACATACAAATATTTAACTTCAAGATATGTAGTTATTCATTCTCCAAGGTTGACCATTTTCTACAGATAAATGTCAAGCAAAATGGTAATAATGTACGGACATTCTGTTCCTAACAAACTTTTAAAGTATCCAAAACATCTGGCAGCAAATCATGGCTGGGGAATCAGAATATAATAATATTTTATAAAGTCACAATAATGCAGTACTTCATATATTCCATTTCAGCTTTTTACAGCAAATGTTTAAATGCACTGAATATGTTTATTTGCTTACACTGAAATTTTCCTATGGGAGTTAATGGTGTTTTAAAATGCTGTATTTCATTACATCATACCTATAGTTTATTGCTGTTAATATATTTTTTTCTTTGATAGTTTCCTGAGATCCAAGCAACATATCTTCGAATCATCATTTTATCTGCTTCTGATGCTTTTGTGTCAGTTCATAGGGTGATAGCAGAAGGATTGTCGCATGAAAGTTAAATGCAATATTCAGATTATAACATATTAAACATTAAACCTTTTTAAAAATGTAGCGGGCATTAATGACTAAGTATACTAACTGCAGTTGGTATTTAATCTTTTCAACTGAAATTGTAAAAAAAAATTCAACAATGAACATTATTTAAACTGATAATTATTTATATGATGATGTACAGTATATTATAGCTGAAATAAAGTAATACACAAGAATGTTCATTCCTCAAACCCTCTGTTATGTTGTCCAATATATTCAGTGCATCTGAATTTATAAGAAATAGAGTTAATTTAGTCTGAAGCAATCTTTCCTTTTAGACCACCAGGTTCCACTCCACCATTTTATCTGTATTATAAGATGATACAATATTTAAAGAAAACAAGTTCAAGCTGGACAAAGATTTTTGGACCAAGTTTAATATTGCATCTTGTTTCTATAAATATTTTCCATATCAGGTCATAGTTCTCTATGTTTTAAACTATGACTATCATAAACAAATATTAATAGAAACAAAAGTAAGAAAATTATTACAGCTATTCCATTCAGAAAGTTCTTCTTTGCAGACACATTTAAAACTGGATGTGATTGTGCTTCTGTCCTTAAGTGGTTTGAGTTCAAAGGATCCAATGCATCTGCCCATGCTAGGAGTTCCATGAGAACAATCATGCATGTTTGTCTGTTCCAAATGTCAGTTGGTTCTGCACCAATGTTCTCCAGAAATTTGATTCTGTACAAAGACTGCTTCTGTTCAGATCCACAGACTAACAATTCCAAATACAGCTCTTATAGAAGAAATATAATTGAGAAATTACACTGTTGCACTGCTCTGTTTGACTATCTTAGGCAGGGGTGTCAAACTCGCAGCCCATGGGCCAGACGTGTCACATGCTGGCCACACCTACTCTCGGTTTAGCGAAGGGGAAAATGTCACATTATGTCACATGATGATGACGTAACAATGTGAATTTGACACCCCTGATCTAGGGGCTGTTATATATAAAGCAACCCATCATGTTATCAATTGAATGGCTTCATTAAAAAATTCACCACAAAGATATATTTCAAATTTATAAAGCAGTTTGTGTATCTACCACTGGCAATTACAAGAATGAAGATTAGCATTGGCAGATAATCCAGGGTAAATAGAATAAATAGATCTTATGTTATTTTTTAATTGAGAGTTCATGACTGCTGAATAATGATGTAAGGTTTTCACCATTATCTTTTCAAATAAATACAGCCCTTTGTAAATAAAAATATGTTTTAAAAATGTAATCAGGCAATGGAGTGTAAGTGCTGCTCAGAAACAGGTTGCTTTGAGGTGTTCTTTTACATGTAAAGTTGTTCCAAAAATTCACGTACTTCTTGCGGGCAATAATTCCAAGGTCCTGGTTTACCCTGTAAAAGGAAAAAAAAATCCAGTGATAATTTCTAAGGACAGTAATATAAAGTGTAGTCAAGGGATATAAAGTAATATAAAGAGATTAATAATTATAAAATAAATAGATTAAAAGATTAAGTTTTTCATGAAAGCATATGGTGTAAGAATATGAGCATGTGGCAGTAATAATAGGATATTTCAGAATTGGATAGACAAGATTACATTTTCACATTGAATTAGATGCCACTATTTTCTTTCAGTTATGACAAATTATCAGCAAAACATAAGATGTTACATGAAAATAAATAATAATAATAATAATAATAATAATAATAATAATAATAATAATAAATAATAATAATAATACATATTTAAAACAGTTTACCTGTTTTAGAAAAAAAAACTCTAGGTAGCAGTCTCCCCGAAGCTAACTTGACTCTCCCACAAGGTTTCAAATACATGTTTAGCTTTGCAAACTTGCACTTCACATAAATATGTAATAACTTTTCTTTTTTTACCTTATACACAACTTTTCCCTTTTGAAGCACATACAGTCTCTCTGGCAGAGCTGCATATTTGTTAGTGCTCAGGTTTTCCATTGTGTCTACCACCACTGGACATAAGGGTAGCTGTTTTAGGAGCATCTGTGCAGCCATTATACGATCTTGAAGGGTTTGGTGACTTTTAATAACAATATTGTTCTTAAAGGCCCATCCATCTAAAATAAAGAATACTTCATCTAAATCCATCTAAAACAAAGGATAATTCTAAAACAAATTAGTCTATTGATACTGGATATATTCATCCTTACATTTAGTAATAGAAGCGGGCTATGTAAGAGCCCAGAGTTTCTTGGTTTTTGTACTGTAACAATTCCGCTTGTATTCCTGTTTTTCTTCCAGAAGTACAAAACCATGATGAAACCAGTCTCATGGGCTATTATGCCTAAATGACTCTACAATTGTCTTATCATCTTCCAGAGTCTGCTGGCTGATAAATACACAGTGAAAGTATGGCTTTGATACTATTAATTTTATTAAATTTTTGCTTCTATTCATGCAGATAAAATGTCAAAGAAAGCAGTGAGGGTGCAGCCTCTTAGCTGTTGGGTTTCAACAGCAATCTTTATTAAATTACACTTGACTTAGACAATCAAATATTGATATTTTTGGAGATTATACTTACAGCATTAGATATACTATAATTGTTTCCAAGTTAAATTAGCTTCTTCTGTCATGTAATGTTAAATCTGCTCCATTAAGCTCTATAATTTATATTTAAGAAGAAATGCATCCAGGTTGGTAACCTAGAATACAATCCTTTACAATCTACTGACTAGATTTTCAGCACGTTTGCCTTACCTGAGGCATGAGCTTCTTCAATGTAGATTACAAGAAAGTCTGCTGCAGATTTGAAATCTTCAACAAGTTTATTAAACTCGCCGAATCTAATTATGAATGAAGGTCAGGTACAACTTCCAAATGTTAGGACCAAAGGCCTGTTACCTGCAAGAAAACACAGATCAGTCTTGAGGGGTAAAGATGAGAATAAGAATTGTTATAGTTCTCATATTTATTCGGGATTATTTACAATTAAAATGCTACATGTACAGTAATGTTAAGAATTTGGTCACATTCTTGTATATATGAGACACCTAACATGGCTGCTTAATATAACATTTGAGAGATTTGAAAGGGCAATATGCTTTAATAGACTTTTATTGGTGCCATTTCGAACAAGTTCCCAATCTAGCTGGGGAATTCTGGGACTTAAAATCCACACATCTTAAAGGTGCTGAGGTTGAGAAATATTGGTCTAGAACAGTGGTGGTATGTTACCGGTTAGGATTGGTTGGGCCAAATCGGTAGTAACAAAAGCCCACGATCAGCTAAGAGGAGGGAAAAATATCCTCCAATCAGCTGAGAGGAAAAAGAAGAGAAAAGCGCAGGATCGGCCTTCCCATCCGTCCCTACACTTTTCTTATGCTCTCAGCTGGTTGCCACTGCAGGTCTCAGCTGGTGTGGGGAAAGCTGCACGCCGGCGTTAGTCAAAGCATGCCCAACAAGCTACACTCACCGAACCGGTGGTAATACAGTTTGAATTCCACCCCTGGTCTAGAAGTCTTCGTGTATTCATTCCAGCACAGGAAACCTTTATTAAGACCCTGCTACTGTCACATTAATTATTTTGCCAAGAATATTTTATGAGGGTACAATTCTAATTCTCAATAAGCATTATGGGATAAAGAACAACATATTTTGTTTTTCATAATCAGCATCTGCACATTGTATAAAAATATTGCCTGGATTCAGCAGGAATGTTGCATGTATTCAGCAGCATGTATTTCATTTTAAAATGTCCCTTTTCCATTTTTTCTAAACCCAACAATACTCACAAGCAGAGCAAAGATTTAGAACCTTATTGGCATCACCAATAAAAATCCTCTAATTAAAATGATCTTTTCAACATTGCCTCTGTTTGAAGAAACTTTATGATATGGTTAGCTATTTTTGTTTTTTAACATGTTTGTACTTGCGATAGAATTTTATATTATAATGTTCTGATTTTTATTTGAGTATCTATACAATCTCTCTTGATCCAACTGATGACAGCCATGAGTTTGTTCACAATAAAACTAAGCCAGGATTTTTTGAAGAAACTTTAGTAGCTTGATTCACATTACAATTAAGCAAAAACGTAAAATTATAAAATTATCTCTGTTCTTCACATCACCCTTTATCAATTTCCCATCAAATGTATTTTTGTTTCTCTAAAATATTCAATTACCTATGGCAACTATTCGAATATGCAGAATAAGTTGTATAAAAGTTGAGCTTTATCTTAATTTCCAAAGCAGTGCAGTTAATTAGTTACTATGAAGTAAAAGCCGATAACTTATGAATATGTTAAGAGAGAGGCAAAGTGCAGTTTGTGTTTGTGCTGGCAATATATATCTGGATTAGTTCAAGATTTATCATGCTCTGTTTCTTTTCTGTGAAGGCATTTGTTAATAGTTTTTAAGAGGAAAAAATCTGAAGCATAGATTGCACGCGTGTATTTGAATGTGTGTATCCTTGGACCCAGTAATACATGCATATGCATAATCTTGTATATTAGTATGCCGTATGTAATTTTAGGTACAGTATATACAGGAGCCTATGTTACTTATAAAAGTCATTTTGACTGTGTCAATCATACATATATAAAGTTAAATTATTTCTTGCTAAATGTCAGAATTAAACTACTTAGCTCAACAATTCTAATGCCACCTTAACATTTTCCCCCAATTATTTTAACATGTTTTATGTCAATTCCAACTAGATGAAAAAAAAAAGAATTGTCTGTTTAATAAATAGAACAGAGTTAGTATCCTGATTTTAAAATGCAATTCTATTTCACTTGTGTTATTAGCAAATGCCATATTTCTCAAAAGCATTATCCTGGTGTTTACTTACCTTGCATGAAATCCAGAATGCAATGCATTTTCCCTCTGAGATCTGCTACGGGGGTATTAGGAGCAGAAGAGCCCTGAAAGGCTTCATCTTCCAGCCTTTTCCATTTGACTTTCAAGACAAAGAGTAAGTAGGAGAAGCTGAAGAAAGTTGGACCCCAATTTTCATAGATGAATGTTGGGTTGTTGTCTCCCATGCCACTCTTTTCTCTGTGCTTCAGGAGATAGCTCTTCACAGTACCTGGGAAGAAGAACATGCAGATTTTACCAACGATAGTAGATAGGCACACATGCAGGAGAATCCAGAACCTCTGCATAAATCTCTTCATTCTAAACATCTTGGCAGAAGGAGAGGCTGCTACATTCTGCAAAGTAGAATTCAATGTGGAGCAAAGTGAAAGGGGGAAAGAAGGAGAGCCTGAGCTAAAGTTAATAATTGTTAGGGTGGTTAGCTGCCTCAAATGACCAACATAACAGTTATCAGTTCTCTACCTTGAAAAAAATCCAAAGCCTTTAACTGAATGTTGGTTAAAATAAATAATGATGTAAGGTTCAACATGTTCAAAAACAAGGATTATATAATCTATTTAGGAATTGAAATCCAGAGAAATCTTTCCTGGAAATAATACTAGATTTCTTCCATGCAAAATCAATGACCCTACTCCTCGGAGGGTTTAACCATAACACACTGCTCAAAAAAAATAAAGGGAGCACTTTAACAACACAATGTAACTCCAAGTCAATCACACTTCTGTGAAATCAAACTGTCCACTTAGGTAGCAACACTGATTGACAATCAATTTCACATGCTGTTGTGCAAATGGAATAGACAAGAGGTGGAAAGCATAGGCAGTTAGCAAGACATCCCCAATAAAGGAGTGGTTCAAGGTTCAAATGTGGGATATTTAGGACTTTCTATTTTATCATTATAAAACTCTTTTACAATAGACTAAGTTGGAAGAGACTCCCAAGACCACACCTGGAATACTGCATCCAACTTTGGTCACCGCGATACAAAAAGATATGGAGACTCTAGAAGGATTTCAGGGAAGAGCAACAAAGATGATTTAGAAGACTGCAGGCCAAAACATGATGATGCTATTTCTGCTCTTACATTATTAAACTGGTGTGAAATATTATTACAAAAATAATAACCAGGATAAGAGGATATTAGTTCAAGGCATAGTTCAGATTCTGCATGCTTTTTTTTTAACTTCACACTTTCACCAGAATTGTAAACCCAAACTTACTTTTAGTCATCAGGAGTGGCAGCAAGTATGGCATCTATGTTGATAATATGGGAAGCTCTTCTTGCAAAGATCACTTTCATAGCATATCACACTCAGATACTTAGGTTTTGAAAGATGCTGAGCAACAGCAGCAAATGAATTCTTAATTGATTATTTGACTATGTCCAGTTCTTGAACAGTGTTCATTAATCACATCATGGAAGCGTGTTTGGAATGATCTTAGTAACACTAAATAAATTTCTTCCACTGAAAATTGGAGAAAATAATCAATAATGGAGGAGGAGGTATTTTTTTGTTGGTCAACCCATTTGCACCAAAATTCAGACTTGTGAAGAAAAGCTGAAATCATATGCTTCATGCTAAAAATTAGGATGTTTTGACACTAAAAAGTTGAAAGGTTAAGGCTATTCGTACAACTGAGGTAGCTAAGGTACAGTATGCTACTTAAAGTCACGCAGAATGTCTTTACCAGCCTTCTCATTTTCATCAAGAAATATTTTGATCACTCCCTATACTCAAAAACTCTTGTAAGGACATTTTCTCACAAGTAGCTCTCTATTTCCATATGGAACAGCTGCATCTTGTATTCAGTGCCAGTTTCTTGAACAGCCTGCTGAAAAGACACATGCTCAAAGCCCTCTATTTTGATCAAGTTTGAATTCCCAGACTTTGTTTTAGCAATGAATGGTCTACTCTTTTTGTTTTTGAGGGACAACTGTTTTCTGAAATATGCAGGGTGTGGCCTGCATATTCAGATATTGCTTTTTCACAAGTGTAGAAATACCCTCCTTTATTTATACATACTGGTGTTCCATCAGTACTGTGAGATAGTGTTTTTCAAACTGGGCAACTTTAAGATGTGTGGACTTCAATTCCCAGAATTCCCCAGCCATACAATTTTTTTTTGAAACCAGACAAGCTAGGAGCCACTCTGGGAAATTCTGAAAATTGGAACCCGCACATCTTGAAGTTGTCAAATTTGAAAAGCAGTGCTGTAAGAGATGGTGCAAAAACTTGGGAATAACGGAAGGAATGCTGACAGTAAACCACCAAGAGATAAGACTGAACAACCTACCAAATTTTCTAAGATTATGTACCATATTCTTAAATTTGACAATACATTTTCTTAAATAAATCTGTGAACTTTGTACCTTGCTGGAAGTGCCTTGAGAAGTGCATAATCTCTACAGTATACAATTCTTCTAATCTACACCATATCTCACAAAATACTGATAGTAACCAAACCAAATATCACTTCTGGGTTTCCAGGGATAAGAATATCAGGTCCCCACTGTGGATTTTCTATGAGAAGAAAGGGGGAATTTTCTCAGTAGCTCATCCTGCCTGCTCTTCCTGTATTTGTTACATATATATGATGTTCAAGAATTTAAAATAAGTTTTTCATCCAAAGTTCACAAAGCAGAGTCTTCACATTTCTTACCTATGATGTAACCAAATTACAAAAATGGCTGAGACAACTATAGTTCAAGGACAGAAAAACCTGTTTTTATTGCACTGGTTTTATTACTGTTTTAAATCCAGATAATGGTATTCAGATAAGGACTGGGAAGAAAGATAAGTCTTTGGTTAAAAGGTGAGGCAGAAAACCAATATAAAAATCTGTACAGGCAATTCCTCTAAATTCAACAAGGTTACTTCTGAGTTCTGTGCACCTTTGGCATGTAGCTATGCTGGCCACATGACCACAGAAATTGTCTTTGGAGGACACTAACTCCTTCGGCCAGGAAATGGAGATGAGCACCATATGCCTTCGAGTTGGATCCGATGGACAGGGAACCCTTTACTTCTGCCTAATCTATTTGGCAGGCAATGAATATCAGTTCCAGGCAAAAAAGCCAATATATGCTGTAGTTGCACAACTGTTTTAAACCAATGATCTATAAAAATCTTTGAAGGTTATTTACTTGTACTCTTTGGTTTTACCAAATGCAAAATGCATTTCAGAAAGTCTGTTGATCTTCCTTCTAGCTATTCACCCCTAGCCAGCATGGTGAGATTGGAAGGTACTGCACCGTGGGGCAGCAGGAAAGCCTAAACTTCTAGAAGTGATTTACACCCTCTCAAGTGTAGGATGGCCATCTAAAGTTTTATATATTCTTACTGTATCTATATGCAGAAGTATACTTAATGGAAAGTGTCTGTAATTCTTGGCCATGTTAAATGAAGCGAAGTTGCTGTCTGGAGGGGAAAAATTCTGCCAAATTGTAGACTTTGAAATGGAAAAGACTATAGATGTAAGCATTTAAAAATGTATATAGAGCTTTCCATTTTATTAAAAACACATTAGATTTACAATAAAATGGTCAAAAAAAACAACAATAAAATACAGTGAAATAAGTTCATTACAAAATGAAAGCCAAGGCAATTCAACTATGCTTGATGTAGCTAAATTGAAGAAATAGTAGAAGTGCCTGAACAAAAAGGTCATTGTTGACAAAGTGGGAACCTGCCCAATTTCAGTGTGAGATAATTTCACATATAGATAGTCCATGACTTACAACAGTTCATTTAGTAACTGCATTGAAAAAAGTGACTTATGACTATTTTTCACACTTACAACCATTGCAGCATCCCTGTGGTCATGTGATCAAAAGTTAGAAGCTTGGCAACTGGCTCATACTTATGACGGTTTGCAATCTCCCGGGGTCATGCAATCACCTTTTGTGACCTTCTGACAAGCAAAGTCAATGAGGAAGCTAGATTCACTTAACCACCATGTTATTTAATAAGTACAATGATTCACTTAACAACAAAAAATGGGGCAAAATTCACTTAACAATTGTCTCTCTTAGCAACAGAAATTTTGGGTCCAATTTTGGTTGTAAGTCGAGGATTACCTGTAGTAGCCCCACACTGGAGAATTCTTCTGTCATATCATTGCTAAATGAGTATTATAGCATAGGAAGGAAGCCATTCCCCACAAAACTGTAAAGACTAAGTACAGCTGATTTAATATTTAAAAAAAAACATGGTTCCTAAAGACAACAAATGTTCAACAGTAATTATTTTAATTTGGAAAGTTTTGAAATAACTCTCTATTTCTTTCTGTGGCATTTTGCAGAAAAGCACACTATATACGTTTTTATAGACAGTGTGTTTACATTCAAATGGTATCTAGAGACCCAAAGTCCCACTCAAAGTTTCCTCGTGGTCCAGGTTTCATTTTGGGTTGCTTCTCTTTGTGCAGCAACAAAATCACTCTCAAGCAGACCAATTCAGCTGATTCGGAACTTCATAGGAATCTCCTAGGTGATAAACAGAAATTCTAAAGTTAGTTATAATGAACAGATATTAAAAAGCCATAGAATTCACCCACATGGATTACACTATTAGCCATTATCTTAGATCACTACCAAAACCTTTTAAGAACTGGTGCCACATACAGATTTTTAAGAAAGTAGTTCATAATCAGAGACCAGTCAATATTTCGCCCAACAGTGGAACAAACAGGGATGTTTTCCCAATTCCTAAATCAAAAAACCCAAGAAGGCTAAGACAGTACTTCAAATAAGCAACATCAAGTGACTAATAGACTTGAGATCAATCTTAATAGCACTATGGATTTGGCTCAGAATCAAGTTGGCAACTGCTACAGTTCTTTCAACTCTACTGTTGCTATTAGATATGTTATGTAACAAAAGTATTTCTGGATTGTTATCAACTACTTCCTCCATATAAAATGCACTGCATTGGTCCAAATGAAAGATTGCAAGAGGATCAATAAATAAGGATAGGCACCCTAAATCTAGGTTCAACCCTAATCAGTGTGTTCGGCCAATGCTGGGCAGACTCCATAGTGCCAGGCCTCCATTGATAAAACTGAGTCAAGGATGATTCCTTTAGCACAAGGGTGTCAAACTCAATTTCATTGAGGGCCGCATCCGGGTTGTGTTTGACCTTAGGGGCTGGGTGGACGTGGCCAAGGTGGGCGTGGCCAGATCAACATCACTCGTGTCGGGGGCCTGTAATGGCCCGAGTGCTCTGCCAGAAAAAATGGTGCTTGGGAGGGCTGTGCGCAGAGGGTTGCAGGAGGCCGTCGCAGCCTCCTGAGCTCCATTTTTGCTGGCAGAGGCACTGCGGGCAAGTTCTTTGCTGTTTCCCTGGGCAACCCCGCAGGACAGATCTAAGCATCCCACGGGCTGGATCTGGCCTGCGGGCCTTGAGTTTGACACCCCTCCTGTAGCATGTACACCTCCTTCAGAAGAAGCTTCCTGTCCTCTTTCAGATCATGAGAAGCCCCCCACTTAGCAGGACCTCCATCTTGTCAGCTTTAAATTGCTTGGCCATCACTCAACACATTATTGCCTCCAGACTGATCAAGCACATACGCTCTTGGCTCAGAAGAGAAGAAAAAAAAAAGTTGGATATTGTCTGCAAGGTAGAACCTTGTCATCAAATATTTGATGATCAGTTCCAGCAGGGTCATACAGAGATTGAAACAGATGGAAGACAGACTGGAATTTTATGATTAAAATGTTATTTACTGGGCCAGTTTTTAATTGGAGTTGGAAGTTCAGGCTTCAAGCAGACATGGGAATATTCAGTATACTGTGGAACCTCCTTCTTTCTCTACAACAAATTGCAGAGATGGCTTGCTAGAGTAACAGAACAATGATGGTGAACCTTTTGGGCTCGGTATGTCAAAAATTTAAAAGTGCCTAACATGATTCTGTTGGCATGTCACCACCTCCCCCAATCATTGCTCTGTGCAAGATGCTCCTGAGCTGTTGTGCAACAAAAACCTTCTGCAACAGCCAGGAAAAATGTGCTTGAAATAACCACCTAAGAATAGAAGCACATTTTAACTGCCTGTATCACTGCTTAAATTGATACCACTTGCAGTGGGTCCTGTAACACTGAAAAGTTTTTCTACGAAGGTAACATCTTACCTTATTTACTGAGCCTTTGTTACTTCTATTGTTCCATTAGGTGGAAGCACTGTAGTCAATGAAAGGACCTCCAGTTCAGGGGCATCAAAAAAGTATGCCTACATTAATGGGGAGCAAGAGGGAGATATCAGAACATCACGAATATCACAATCCCATATATTTGTGTAGGGAGTCCTCAATGTATGACCGTTTGCTTAGCGATCACTCAAAGCTATGACAACACCCCACCCCAAAGGTATTTGCAATCCGGATTTGAAGTTGTGATAGTTGGGCATCACCCCATAATCACATGATCATGTTTTGGGTATTCGGCAACAGGTCCACATTTATGGAGGTGTCCCACAGATAAGTGATCACGATTTACAACTTTCCCATGTCCTTCTAGTTGTTAGCAAAAATGCCCATTGTGGACAATGGATTTGCTTAGCAACCACAGCATTCATCTAATGACTACCACAAAAAAGATTATGAAATCGGGTACAGTCATGGGCACTGCTTCATGACTGGCATGACTTACGAGTATAATTCCATATTCAGTTACAGTTGTAAATCAAGGATTACTTGTAATGTACTTGGGCAGGGAACAGTCAACATAGAAATAACAAAATATTCAAAGATGACCAAGATAGAAGATTCAGAGTGTCAGATATGGGAAACCAATACCAAAACACTATTTATAGGTGATCCTATCTGAAAAGTATAGTACAGGAAGTCCTCAACGTACAACGGTTCATTTAGTGACCATTAAAATTTAGTGACCATTAAAAGGTACAACGGAACTGAAAAAGTGACTTATCACCATTTTTCACACTTACAACCTTTGTAGTATCTCCATGATCACGTGATCAAAATTCAGGTGCTTGGCTACTGGTTCATACTTATGACCATAGCTGTTTACCAAAGTCATGCAATATATACTATAAGTTTCCAACTATTTTGAATGGATTAATTAGACATATCATTGTCTAATTCTACAACAGCTAATCAAATCTAAATAAAAGCAATATTGAAAAATAAAAAT